GACACCCCTGCAGAAGTCACAAATGCAGGTGCCTTTCCGGTCAGTTGTCGGTGTATCTGCTGAGCCTCTGTGAACGCGCCTGGGAAGAGGGGCCAGAAGAGGACAGAGGGAAGGAAGCCTTAACGGGTGGAAATACGCGGATCTTCAGACTTTGAAAGCGGTTTTTCTGGGTATTTCTAGAATGGAGGGCCGGACACCAAGAACCAAGTCAGGGTCCTCGTACAGAGTGACTGGGCTCTCCAGTTTCTTGCGGAGGTCTGGTTGCTAACCCTTCTGGTTTGGGCAAATACTTCGCATATTTTGGGTATGAGATGCTAAAGAATAAACCTGTTTTCAGGGTGCCTGGGTGGCTCAGTCATTAAGCGTCTGCCTTCAGCTCAGGTCCTGATCCCAGCGTCGAGGGATCGAGCCCCGCGTCGGGCTCCCTGCTCAGCAGGAAGCCTGCTTCTCCCTCTCTACTCCCCCTGCTTGTGTGTCCTCTCTTGCTGTGGCGTCTCTGTCAAATAAACAAAATATGGAAAAAAAAAAAAAGCCCACTTCGGTGGAGCGCGCCCCTTCTGATCAGGGAGGCTTTGGGCCGGGCGTGGTGCTTCCAGGGCCTCCGCTGGGAAAGGCTGCCCCACGCTCCTTTTTCCTTCCTGCAGAGAAAGCTTTTGTGATTTAGCTGAATTGTATACAGTTTTGGAAAGATGCTTCTCTCAGCCTGGACTTTCAAGGCCTACTTAGGAGTCTGAAAGAAGTGGATTGTAGCACACTCTCTTTAAAACAGATGCGGCCAGAGAGAAGGATGAAGTCATGCCTTTGAACTGAAGGCCGCCCTCACCTTCCTTGTGCTCGTTTGTGCCGGAAGTTCCTCAGAGTCGTTGAGATGCTCTTGGAAACTGCTCGAACCCGCCCCCGCCCCCCCCAGGCCGTGGTTTCTGTTCTGAGAGACTTGGGGTTTCGGAGCCCTGTCCTTTGTTTCCTCGCTCATCCCGACCTGGAGGTGTGTGTGGCTTGGCCCCGGGAAGTCGTGAAGCCTCCCGGTTTGTTCCCAGCCGGGTCCCTGGGCCGCAGGCCTGAGCGCGGACCTCGCTTGGCTATCCCGGAGCTCCCTGAGGCCGAAAGGGGACATGGCTCCACAGGCGACATGGAAACCGAAGGAAACCACCCCCTACCTCCCGCCCCGGGGCACAGGGAGGGTTTCCCCACGTCCTGCTAGGGATTCCGCTCTCCTTCTGAAATCGGGACCATCTGCTCATCAGACCCGCGGGGGCTGGCCTTCCCGAGCCGCACACGGTCGTGCTCACACCTGCCTGTGTGTATCACTCGGTGTGTCACACTCAAGCAGGCCGCGTGGAGTGTCCTCCAGTAACTTGGACCGCACGGGATTTTTGTTCTAAACACCATTCGTGGAGCCCAAACATGAGGCAAGAAGGAACTTGGCTGTTCTCTTCCGTTGAATGTAAATCCTCCCTTTGTTCCTCGCCAGACTCAGACTCACGGATCCCTCCCCAAAAGAGTTCAATTTCCTGAGACCTTCCAGAGTGAACGATGACCTGTTTAGGCGTCCGGGGTGACCATGAGACCATTCAGAGTGGCCGAGGTCACGCATACGTCGTCAGTACACTTCCTCGCTTTGTGGGGTCTCCGAGGGTCGGCCGGCTGTCCCCCAGCAGGAATGGACATTTTAGGAGATTCAGGTGAAAACTCGTGTGTTCCTTGACTCCGAGTCTTAAATTCAGATGCTGCAGAGAGAGAGGTACTGATGGATGCCCGGCGCCGGCCACGAGCTTGTCTAGAGATGAGATCTTGGGGAGGGAAGGTGAGCCGAGCCTGGGTGGCCTTAAAAGGAAAAACCTTGTGGAAAACACTTCTCTTGGCATTGAAAGATACCCAGTGCTTAGTACTGAGTGGGATGCCCAGGGCTGCAGAGCCTACAACCAGCGTGTCTCCGTGGCCGCGGCACCTGCAGACTGTCTCTTGATGTGCAAGCTGCTTGTCTCTTTTGATAATAGACTCCTGGGTTTTTTTGCTTTTCGTTTTTTAATTTTAATTTTTCAGTGTTCTAGGATTCATTGTTTATGAGCCACACCCAGTGCTCCGTGCAGTCTGTGCCCTCCTTGATACCCACCACCAGGATCACCCATTCCCCCCACTACCCTCCCCTCCAAAATCCTGTTTGTTTCTCAGAGTCCACAGTCTCTCATGCTTCGTCTGATTTCCCCCAACTCCCTTTTCCTCTCCATCTCCCCATGTCCTCCATGTTATTCCTTATGCTCCACAAGTAAGTGAAACTGTATGATAACTGACTCTCTCTGCTTGACTTACTTCACGCAGCTTAATCTCTTCCCGTCCATGTTGCTACAAAAGTTGGGTGTTCATCCTTTCTGATGGAGGCATAATACCCCATAGTGTATATGGACCACATCTTCTTTATCCATTCGTCCGTTGAAGGGCATCTCGGTTCTTTCCACAGTTTGGCGACTGTGGCCATTGCTGCTATGAACATTGGGGTACAGATGGCCCTTCTTTTCCCTACATCTGTATCTTTGGGCTAAATACCCAGTAGTGCAATTGCAGGGTCATAGGGATCTCTATTTGTAATTTCTTAAGGAGTCTCCACACTGTTTTCCAGAGTGGCTGCACCAACTTGCATTCCCACCAACAGTGTAAGACGGTTCCCCTTTCTCCACATCCTGTCCAACACACGTTGTTTCCTGTCTTGTTAACCTTTGCTGTTCTAAGTGGTGTAAGGTGGTATCTCAGTGTGGTTTTGATTTGAATTTCCCTGATGGCAAGCTTTATTACAAAGCTGTGATCAACAAGACAGCATGGTACTGGCACAAAAACAGACTCCTAGTTTTTAACTGGGTACATGGCTGCTTGGATTAAAGCCTGTGTTTCCAAGCGTCCCTTGCAGCTGGGTGTGAGACACACTGTGTGAGTGTAGGTAGGAATTGTCCTGAAAGAAAGGATGTAGATAAGTCTCTGTTCCTGCCTTCCTTCCACTCTCCTACAGCTTGGAAATCAGGTGTGATGGCAGGGCTTGGGCAGCTACTCTGTGGCATGAGGTAGAGACGGCTGTGTACTGAGGGTGGAAGAACAGGACGATGGAGGGTCTGAGTCCCTGCCCCCGGGAACACCACGGACACCACAAGTGCTGTTGACCCCTGAACTTGGAGACAAAAAAATGCCTTTCTCTCCTGCTTATGCCACTGTTACCTTGTGTTTCTGGTCAGGTGCAACCAGGTGTAATCCTAAGTGACATCCTCTTGCTCCCTGCACCTGCGTGGAGTCGATTCCTCTTAGTGTTTCATGGTCAGAGTGTTTAAATGCCACCCCTTTGGAAATCAGCTGAGAATAAAGTTGCACGTCTTGTGGGAATGAGGGGTCTCCTGAAAGTGATGGACAGGTGCCAGGGAGTGACCTGAACCACAGTGAGGGTCCCTGGTGGCTTGGAACCAGGTAGCTGGCGAGGGCAAGATAGTATCCCAGGACCATGGGACAGACACTGCAGACCAGGAGGAGAAGCTCTGGGGAGCCTGGCCAAGTCCTGGGCGTGGTCTCGCTTGTCGTTTACGTGTTGGTGGGAACTATTTCTTGGCTCTGCACTTAAGAGTTTCAGTTCTGCTGGCATAAATCAGTCATGTTAGACATCAGGTGAATTTAACCCATCTTCCCCATTCTGGATTCACTTTTCCATACAAAGCGATCGTGCAGCCTCTTCTCCAGTGTCTGTTTCCTGCGGAATTCTGGTCCCTCTTCAGATGGACCCTTTACGGCAGTAGCTGTCCTGGTGTCGGTCTTAGCAGCATGGCGGGTCGCTGGAAGGCTCCAGGCCGGAGTGCCTCCAGCCCTGAGATCTGACTGACCGGGCAGGAACGCGCTCTGGGCACCAGGACTTTGGGTAGGGAGGCCTCTCGTGTGTCATCCCCACGTGGCCCCCTGACAGTCCAAGAGGACAGCGGGTCAGGGCGGGGAAGTAGGATGGGCGTGGAGAGACGCAAGGGAAAAGGAGCCAGGGTGGGAGGAAGAGCACACTCTGTTCACTGGAAAGCGAGAGGAAGACGGCAACCCTCCGGACACCGGCGAGAGCTGTGGGTCAGTGGCAGGCTGGCGGGTTCAGCCCCAGAGCACCGGCTGCCACCCCAGCCCCCGCGCTCTGCTCCGCGGAGCTGAGCATCCGGGCGAAGCCGCCCACCCGGCAGGCCTGGGCATTCCGCCCCCTCGGGACGGCGGGGCGGGGCGCGGACCCGCGTGCAGCTGGGCCAAGGGGAAGCCGCGCCTCTTTGCCGCATAACACAGCGCCCCTATGTGTGCACTACCCCCCCCGCCCCATATTCAGGGGTTCTGGTGTCTCGGTTCTCTCTGGAGATTTCCTCCTGGATCACTCAAACCTGCGTTCATCCGGCGAACTGAAACCGATACACAGTGTGTGAACACGAGGCTCAGTGAATCCGGGACCGGAGCGGCCACGGCGCTTGCGGACACGCACGGCTTCACGTCCGCACCGGTGTGGACATGAGGACTGCGCACAAACCCCCCTTCGGGAGAGGCTCGAGCGTCAGCACCTGGGTCCGGGGCTGGGACAGGACGGGGGTGGCGGGTGGTTTCTCGCGGACGTGGCTCCCAGCAGGAACGCACGGCGGCTGCGTCCGGGGCGGAGGGCGACACGCTTTATTCTGTGCACACTCGGATTGGGCTGCCGGCTTTGCACAGTGGCTACAGGGCGTCAGAAGGCGGGGGCGGGGGTCTGTGTGGCGGTGCTTGGCCCTGAGTCCCATAGTGGCTGACGCCCTCTCTCCCTGCCTCCCCCTGCCGGGCCCTCTACTGCCAGGGACCCGATGTGCTAGACACGGCCGTGATGGTCCCTGGAAGCCCAGGCAGGTTTTGGATGAGGTTCTGTCTTATAACTGGCATTGTTTCTTGATGGTTCCATGGAACTGGCTTGACGTGGACCGGACCGGAGCCGCTGGCCCGGGACTCCGTCTCTGGTATGCACCCAGGGCTGGGCAGGTGCAGCCGCGGGCGGGCGCCCTTACTCCCCGACGCCCCCCTCCAGGGTCCGGACGAGGTGCTGGTAGGTGTCTCTTTCCGCCTGCCACGAGTGATACCTCCTCACATACTCCCTTCCGTTGGCCACAATTTTTTTTTCTAGCGCGGGATCACGAACCAGTCTCTTCGCCAGCTGAGCAAACTCCTGCAAAGGAGGGGGAGGAAAGACGGGTGTCAATAATGGGCAGAGGGGGATTTGCAGGGGGGTCTAAACGCCTGTGCCCGTGTTAGCTCCCAGCCTCTCCCTCGGCGCCGCCCGGCTCCGGGAAAGAGGCCCCGAGGGGGCAGGAGAGCGCACGCAGACACGGGCTGAGCGAGAAACCACACGAACCCCCCACGCGCATGCATGCACACACGCGTGTCAGGATGGCTGTCCGCGGGGGGAGCTCGGAACCGTCAGCTCTACCTCCCCGTCTCTCTCCCCTGCGTTCCCCAAAGATGCTCTTTCTTTCTTTCACAGGGACCCTTAAATCCGCGTTCTCCCCTCAGCGTCCCCCGGGTCCGACTCCAGGCTCCGAGCCCCACATCTCACGCTGCTGCCCCTGTGCTGCTTGCTCCCCACCGTGCTGGGGCTCCCCGTTCCCGGGCACGGAGCGTGTCTTCAGATGCTCTGCCTCGGCCAAGAGTGCCCGGCTTCAGAGTCTGGGCTGGCTCGGATCCTTCTGCAAGACGCAAGGGAGCTGTGGCTCTGGGCCGGCGAGTTAGCTGAGCCCCACAGGGACCATCTCCTCAGGGTCGGGGCCCCTGACGGGTCAGCCCGGCCGTTCCTCAGGCTCCCCCAGGAGAAAGAGGGAGACGGGACTCGACAGTCCCCAATTTTCTGGCGTTCCCTTCCGTCGCGTAGCTTCAGGCCGCGCGTCTGCTGACAGGCACGATCGACAGATGCCACAGATGCCGCCACCAGCGCCGGGACGGTCCTGAGGCCCAGCTTCTGGGGTCACAGCCCTCCGTAATCAGAATTAGGGTTATTTTGATTGTTCTGGAGTACTGAGTATATGTTGCACGAAGTCAAGAGCAGAGTTCGTGAGCCCGGAGGTCTGCATGTGACCTCACTCTCTACCTTCAGGCGGGTGACCTTGGGGACATTTCTTAACCTCCTGTGCCTCTGTCTCCTCGTCTGTAACTAAGGGACAGCAGCAGCACCTGCTCCATGGTGTGTCGGCAGGACAGACCGCGTCGGTGCAGAGGGCCTGGGCCTGGCCTGGCACAGACTTTGCCTCCCCTGTCCCCAAGGCTCCTGGAAGCCCAGGCAAACTCCAGCAAGACAGCCGGGCCTGGGATTAACATCCAGTGCTCTGCGGTGTGAAAGGAACGCCCACATGCTCTCAGAATTACCACGTCGAACGCTCTTCATAGCTAACGATGTAAGTAGCAATATTTACGATAGAGTGGAGTTCATATTCTTATGCGTTATGTTTCCACTCTTTAGTTCTTTTATGATAAAAACGTAACATACTTATTCCCATCTCCCAGTCGAACAACCGCGTTCTTACAGAAGTCCCTCGCCAGGCTTACACCTGGTCTGTTGCTGGACGACACCGTCCGGTCTTGGATTTATCTGACGTGCAGACTGGCTGTTAGAATGTCCAGACGGAACGTGTGGCTGTTTTATAGCCGAGCCTGAACCACGGAGCTTCTGTGGGTAGGACATGAGCAAGTGTACGGCTTCCTCTCCACGCGGAAGACCCGACAGAAACACGGACTCACATAGAGCGAGAGCCCCTGGGGCCGGGGAGATGATGCAGCCCGGCTGGCGGGCAGGGAGCCCCGTGTGAGTGGCCGGAGGACAAGAGCGAAGCAGAGCATCGGGACAAGCAGAGGGAAACCTGCCCCGTGAGTCGAGGACTGCTCTCGTCCGGGCTGAGCCGGCTCCTGTGTGCCTGCCGACGCAGCACATGCACTTGGAGACATGCGAGGGGACAGACAGCTGTGTGCTTGCCGAGACAGACCGCATGTCCTCTGTCCCCATATGCCGGCTGCGGTCTGCTTCCCCGGCTCGTGAACCTGTGCTCGACACACAGACCACGTCGGAGGTGACGGGTCTGACCTCCAAGCACAGCTCCGTGGCTTCTCCGCTCCCACTCCTGTTCTGAGGCCTGGGCTGCCCGCTGAGGGTGAGAGCGTGGGGACAGGGACACCCGCCAGGACCCGCCCGGCCCACGAGGCAGGAGGATCTCCAGCAGAGCCCCCAGGAAAGAAGCGTGCATGTCCGTTCACCTGGGATTCTGAACTTCTGGCTGTAGAACTTGCCAAAAAAGTGGTCAGCCGAGTGCCAAATACTTTCTGGAGGGGAGGGGTGCTTGTCAAGGGCTCCTACGGCACCTGAACTTGGAAATCACTCAGGAGAGGGAGTTGTAAGGCATCCGAGGGGATGTCCATGGAGCCAAGTGTGGGAACCCCATGCACAGATGTGCAGGCCTGGCTCGGGCTACACATCTCTGACATTAAAAAACATTAAAAACATTATGAGTAGGTCACTACTGCTGAGTCCCTGAGTCCCCAGCTCCCCTGGCAGATGGGGCCTGCCTTGCCCCTAGGCCCAGGCCCTAACACACGCTTAGTTACCTTTCCCCTAAGTCACTGCTGCTGAAACCTTTCCCCTAAATCATCCTAAATCACCGGCCTTCTCTCGCGGAGCCACCGCCAGGGTCCAGGGAATGAGAAGCGGGGTCCGTTGGACAGATCTGATGTTCAGACTCTTGTAGGGATCCTTGTCATCACGCCGTCTCCCCGACGCCACGGGGCAGGGGGCTCTCGTGGGAAGCGCAGAGCCCTGCGGACCGCACCCCGGACATGGTTCAGAGAAGCGCCCATCCCGGCCCCCTTCTGGGAGCCCCATGCGCTCCTTCCCAGAGGCGCTAAAATCGACTGCACAGAAACGGAGCTTCGGGCGAGGATGCTGAGTTCAACCGCCCTAAAGCTCAGGCCGTTTTGCAAACAGCACCCGGCTTGCGCCCAACCAGTCACACGGTAGACCAGGCCTCTGAACCCGGGAAGGCCCAGGAGCAGCACCCTGGACGCCTGGGCGCGCGTCCCAACCCCTGCCCGGGGCTGCTGGGGACAGGGCAGACCACGGCTCTGACCCATGTGATGGGAACGTTAATCCTCTTGTACTCCTGAGTCAAGGACAGAGCCTCTTTGGTGAGCGCGAGCCTGCTCCCGTGCTCTACTCTGTTGAGGACAGCTGGCGTCGGGCCCGGAGCCACCAGTGGGGTTGGGAGGGGCCTCAAATCCACAGCGGCAGCCAGCATCCGTCGCGTGCTTCCCGTTCGGAACCCAGGACTGGGGGCCGCAATGATGGGGCTCAGGCCCGCTCTTGTTACCGTATGCCCCACGGTGGCTCTGGCGGCGCCCCGTACGCAATGCAGCACACCACAGTTTGCAAGTCAGAACATACCAGCAGTCACGTGAGGCAGGACAAACAAAGGCACAAGTAACTTCGCATCAGCTCAGAGAGGACTTTGCTGCCAACTGAGTTTTGGCATCAAATCCCCAAAAAATCAAATTGCTTTTCGGGTACTTTTTGGATTTTGGAAAGGCAGAAAGGGCCTGGGACTCTGGGCTGTCCCCAGGACTCCTCAGGGGGAACAGGAGCCGAGAGGGGTTCGGGGACCGTGCCCAGGGGCACACGGTAAGCGGTCAGCATCCAAGACGGGACTGCACTCAGACCGTTTGGCCCTGGACCTGTGTCCCCCTCCTCCGGTCTTGGCAAGCGAAGACCAGAAGGAGAGGGAACGCCATGAGGGGAGCGCTGGCCTGGAGAAGGTTCCAGGGGGCAACAGTGACCACAGCCGGGTCAGAGAGAGAGAGCAGGGCCCTCAAGACCTGTGGCGGTGAATCTGCCATGAAGTCATCCTGGCTGTGCCTCGGGTGCCCGGGATGGACGTGAGGCTCCTGGGCAGAGGTCCTCCAGGGGAGTGGGCTGTGGGAGGCCGACCAGGGGGTGAAGGCCGCCTCCAGCCCCTGCAAAGGCTCCTGATTCTTTGTCCCGCTGAGGCTGGGCTCGGCCACCTCGGCCCAGAGACCCTCAGGGGAGCAGCGGATGTTCACTCTGGGCTGGTGGCCGCCGTCCTGGTCCACACGAATGTCCACACACTGCCCTGTTCGTAGCCAGCGCGGCCTCCCTCTCTCAGACCTCAGCCGCCAGCCCTGCCTTCACGTGGCCACAGCTCACGGCCACGGTTCTCTTGGACGCCGGCCCCGGGAACGGCCCTGACGAGCAGGAGCCCCTGAATGTGAGCAGCCCAGCTGTCGGGGTCCGCGTGTCGTCCCTGCTCCAAGAAGCACCTTCGGCAGCCGGCGTGCGGTGTCCCCGGAGAAGGGCACACGGTGTCTGCATCCGTGGGAACAGGAGCGGGGACGGGTTCACCACCCACAGCCGCGGCTGAGCGCGGCAGCCGCGGACACGGGCCGCTCACCACAGCCCGTGAGGCCAAGTGGCCACGGAGGGGCGAGTCCAGATGGGGACGGGGACGCGTCCCGCGTGCGTGTGTCCTGCAAAAATAGGAGGCTGTCTCCAAGTGGCTAATGATGAATGCTTCTTTTTAATTTTTATGTTGTCGATTTTTCTGTAAAAACCGTGTGGACAGTAAAAGAATCAGAGCCCACTGCCCGGAGACGGAGACCATGGGGCCGTGTCCGCTCTGTGCCCGCCGCACTGCTGCGAGCCAGCCCCGCGGTTCTTGTCTGTTTCCGCCATTCCCCGCGCGCCACACCCCTCCAGCTCCCCTGCGGCTTGCCAGCACCCCAGCTTCTGGGCACGGGGCTCTGCCGCCGCCAGGACCCTTCCCTGCAGGGCACCCCGTCCTTCGAGGCCAGCCTCACCCTCGCAGGGCAGAACCAAGAGAGCCCCGGGAGTCGATCCCTACCGCGTCCGACCCGGGGTGCGGCCCACGGTGCTGAGGGCGGGAAGAGGCTGTGCGGCCCTATCTCAGGACCACCCTGCCTGGACCATAACCCCCCGCGGCCTGCACCCTTGCCCCCAGCTTCTGCCTCCAGGACCTCACTCAGTGCCCACCACGTGGCAGCGCCTCAGGGAAAGTTCTCTAACTCACCTGCTATGTGGCGGGACCTGACTCCCTGCCTCGTCGCGCAGAGACGGACAGAACCCACCACTCTTGTCCTGGCACTCGAAGCCCAGACTCTTCTTTCTGCCTGGTGAGTCCCTCCACTCCCGAGACACCTGAGGACCCCTAACCTTCTCTTGTGTCTGGAGGGCAAGGCCTGCTCCGGAGCTAGGAATGTGCCTCCTGGGACATGACCTCACTGGGAATGTCGCCGCTGCGGGTGACCGTCCTATCCCTCACTTGCTCACAGAGGGATCAGCCCTCATCTAGCAGATGTCTAACGGCTAGCTGCCCAGCAGGTCTCCCCTGGATGGTTGGCTAAGCCCACGGGCGTTTAAGCTAACAGCCGACGGAATTGTCAACACTCACAAATGGGTAAAATCCAGTTACAATTTGGGAATTGCAGCCTGTCTTCAGACACGGCAAGGGCGTGACTCGGGCCTGTGGGCCCAGGGTGGCTGGCGGTGGGCACTGTCTGGGCCCCTTGCTCAGCCGGGGCGTGTGGTCTGCCCTGCAGGCCCGACGTGAGAGCACGAGCCACCTGGCCTTGTGGGAGCCTGGTTCAAACCTGCTTCTTCTCTGTTCTCCCCCCGCCCCCATCCCCCACCCCCCACAGCCACATTTACTTCCCACACACTTCTTCCCTCAAAACCTCGCTCCTGCTGTCGGGGCTCCCCGAGGCATTGATGGGATTGACCCTCATTTTCACGTTCCGCAGCCAGATGCGGAAGCCACTGGGGTCCCTGAGGAGACGGCGCCCGCACACACAGCTGCTGGGCTGTGCACCTGACCCTGACGGCCAGAAGGCGTGGGTGCTCAGGACGCCGCACATGGGCGCCAGCCTGTCCCCTGACCGCGGCCATGGTGCAGAGGGTGTCACTGGGTGTGGAGACGGGGCCGCAGAGTGCCACAGGCACGGGGAGGGGAGATGGGGAGCGAGGGCTCAGGCGGGGACCGCCGCAGATCACAGGCTGTGCTCCTGGAGGAGAGGTCAGGTTTCCCTCGTGGCTGCTGGTTTAGTTCCACACAGACACTCACAAAATTAATGAGCACGAGGGCTGCCCTTTGACCCCACTGATGTCGCTCGAGCAAAGCCCGTGTGCGGTTTGCTTGCTGTTTCGAAGGGCGGGTGGGGGGGTCTGATATGTGTGAGCGATCGGTGACACCCCCCCGCCGCCTGGTCGTCTCTGGCACGTCCATCAGGGACAGAGCATGCCTGCCGAGCGAGTCCAGATGCAGCTCGGACGGCGGCTGCGTCCCCAGCCGACACGCGCGCGTCCCCTTGAGCAGCCGCCGTCCGCACGCAAGTCCCCCCTTACCAGGTTAAATGCCGCTTCTGATCCGTATTTGGATGCGGATTGGAAATAACCCTTTCACACTCCGCAGCCGGCCGGCGGTGCGTGCCGCTGAGCCCGGGGCTGCGCGGACTCCCCCCACGGTTGCCGGCTTATTTGAAATGCGTCTTGTTTCGGAAGCAGGCTCCCTCCCTGCGCTTGGTCGAGTCTGGTGGCCGCCGTAAAGAAGACAAAGCCGTGTGTGACGGCCCCGTCTAGCGGGTTTTTCAAAGTGTGTTAACACAGCCCGCGGCCTCCCCCGACGTGAGACCTGAAGTGTCCTTTCTTTTTTTAAAATCCTTTGTCACACCAATGTTAACATTGTAGAATCAAAACAAGTCCTTGACTTTGTGTGCTGTGGCGCCGTGTCTGTGAGCCGGGGGACATGACCCTGTTGGGGGGGAGGGGATGCTCGGTGGCAAGTGTCAGAGGGAGTCCCTGCCGGAAGCACCGTGCTGTCCTCGTGCTCGGACTCCCTGCCAAAGTTAGAGCTCCGAAACGACCCGACGGGGGAGAGGACAGTAAAATGACCTTGCCGGGGGGAGGCACAACTACCTGACCCACAAGCTTGGCTGGTGTTGACGGCCAGAGCTCCGGAGTGGGGCAGAAGCGAGCCGTGGTCTGGAGAAGCGACAGGTCACTGCCCTCAGCTCTCCCTGTCCGGACACCGCTCGGGCCGCAGGCGCTGCCGCCGAAAGGGAAGGCGTTAGCAGCCGGGATGCCTTTGGCTGGACCGTCGGGCGGGAGCCCCGGGCTCCTTGGCTGCTGCATGGGCCTCCCCCGGGCCGGGGTTGGGGGGCAGCGCCCCAGGCCGCAGGGAAGAGGGGGGGCATGGTTGTGGCAAGGGAGAGGGAAAACTGTCTCGGATTAAGCATCTGCCAGAGGAGATCTGAAAACTGAATTTTTAGTATTTGAGGTGACTAATTTTTAAGTGTAAATCCCCACGCTCCTGAATAGAACGTGGGCTCTCATGAAGACGCCGGCAGGCAGAACCTAAGTTTAAAAGACTCAAAGGACAAAACTCAGGCCTAAGGCATTACCTCCTGCCGCGGACACCGGGTGTGACTGAGGCCGTGCCTCTCCGGTGGGGACAGCCGGCCGGAGCTCTGGCCGCGCCGGGAACACGCTCAGCCCCGTGTTTCCCTCCGCCTGTGCCCAGCACCCCCCAGGGGGCAGCAGGGATCACGAGCTCTGCTTGTCCCAGAGAAAACAGCTTGGAGACCCAGGCCAGGCCACACGTCCTGGGCCCAACTGTGGGCAGACACCCATGGGCGCACTCCAGACCCCTTCACACACTTCCTGGGGTCCCCCCCCCCGCCATGCCCCGGCCGTGTCCACTCCCGGCTGCACTGTCCCATGTGTTATCTTCAAATAAAGTGCCGGCTCATTGTGTGCGCTGTTTTGAGGCATTACAACGATCAGACACACGGCCATCTTGCTGAAAACCGGTAGGTGTTCTAGAAATCCACGATTCTGCCTGAAGAGCACCCGCCCGGAGCCCAGAAATCCAAGCATCAGGGGCCTGATGGGCTCACGGCCGCGCCGCTCGTCAGAGGCAGGATCAGGAACAGGAGCAGGTCCTGTGTTCAGGTCTCCGTTCTGGGATTTTCTGAATCACGGTTGCCCCCGGGGCCACAGAGGACACACGCTGCATGCAGGGCTCCCGCCATGGGGAGGGGGCACCGGGCACTGGCGGAAAGATGGGAACCCCAGACTGTCCGCGGGAAATGCCGACGAAACCCGTCCCGGACAAACGCTTCCTTACCTGAGGGTCCGAAAACAGCAGGCCTGTGACCTCGTGCTTCACCACCGCCGCGTTCCCAGGGATGTTGCGGGCCAGCACCGGCACTTGCAGGTCCATGGCCTGAGGGCGGGAGAGAGAAAACGGGTGGGCAGCCGTGATTAAGACTGTCCCCGGCGGACGAGCCCGCGTGGGGGGATAGCGTCTGCGCCCGCCAGGCCTCCGGCACGTTACCCGATCGAAATGTTCCGCTGGCACAGCACGTCCCGCGCTGTGATAACTTACTGTTGCAGGTTCTGGGAGGCTCTATTCCGCAAGACTTTGGCATAATTACCACGGTGTCACGAAGAAGCCCCCCCCGGGCCCCGTGTTTGCTTGACACTTGTGCAGTGACAGTCTGGAGAGCACAACCTTAATTATCCTCATTACTCTCCCAGTGAGTCATGTGCCCCCAGCACAGGCTGTGGGAACGGTGCCGGAGGCCTGGCACATCTCTCTGGCACGCAGACCAGAGTAAGAAGGAACACGATTTGTCATCCCGACTGTGCACTGAGCAGGCTCTCCACCCCCAAGGTCTGGGATCGGCACGCAGCGTCCGCCGCTCCGCACCGACTAGCATCGAGGCCTTGGAAGGTGCCTGAGAGCTCAGTGGGCAGAGTCTGCCTCATCTCCCCGGCCGGACAGCGTCTCCGGTTCTCCTCCTATGGTTCTGGGGAGCCTCCGACATTGAGCCTCCTGGGGCTGCTTAGACCTGGGCCCACTCACCCCCGCTCCCTCAGGAGCCCTCCAGCACGTGAGAGGGACATCCCTTTGCAACTTGGCATCCATGGCAGGATGGGTTTGGTGTCAAGAGCAAACCGATAATGTGGCTTTTACTCCACAAAAGTATGTTTTAGACGCTCTGTGTCTGTGGCATCTCTTTTCATGTCATAAACATTTGGTCACAAAGGGGTGATGTTTGATCTTCAGAAACGTAAAGTTACCCAAGTGCAGCTGGTCTCCAAGCCAGGTTTCCGCCGTCCTTTTGCAGTGTCCCGTCTAGGGTCTTCGATGGTCACAACACTCGGGAAGGAGGCACCGCGCGGCACAGGAGAGCGGTAACGGGAATGGCCTCATCCCAGCACCACAGTCCCAAGGGCTTTCGACTCCTGGGTGGGCCCGGGGTTCTGACACGCCGCAGGCCCGTCTGGTGGCCTGGGAGACAGCACAGGGCCGGGGATCAAGAGGCCTTTGTCTCAGTGAAGATCTTGCTCTCACTGTCTTTGCTCTGGGCCCACACAGTGCATGTCACCCTCAGACTGCAGCGCTGTCACCTGGAGTGAAGAGGAACCCTGACCCTCAGCCCATTGCAGCCCACCCTGCTCTGCCCCACAATCAGGCCTTCCTGAAAGTTCCTCCCGCCACTCTGCAGTGCAGCCCAGGAACCGCTGAGGTAGCAAGCCTGCAGACGAGGCTCTGGATTTCTCCCTGGTTCCCAGTTGAATAAGGGACTAAACTGTCCTCTCTACAGCACGTGAAAGAGTCCGCTGTCATTCTGCAGGTACCACTGTGTGGTTTGTGGCGTAAGCCGACTAGCACATCCGCGACATCAGTTACGAGGTCGTATCATAATCACAGTGAGTGATGCTGAGTCACACGCTTGTCTCTGCACTTGTCATAGTGCAGGTCGCCGGCTCATTAAACTAGCGCAACACACTGTGATTTCATTTCTAGACGTTTGTCAAGTCACTGCCTCCTCCTCACATGGGCGAGACCTTTGAGACCATCCTGTCACCCAGCGTCAACCGTCAGGTCAGAGCTCAGAAAGAGGGTGACTGATACGTCACGCGGCTCCTGCTCCAGGTGGCCCCTGCAGCATTTTCATACTCAAAGGGTACATTTATCCCGATTTGAGGTAAGTATTAGTATTTGTGAAACATCTGTGGCAGACACAGAATCGAGAGGGGCCGTGTACGATGGAGATGGAGAGATGGACAAATGCAGATTTACGGAACCGATGACAAAAGCAGCACAGGACGAGCCGCCCCCGAGAGAGAACAGAGTTTAAATCCCCGTCTCGGGCAAAAAAGAATCTTGTCATCACCCCTCCTGTCACGTACACTCACTGGTGTATCCACTGGACCAGTGCTCGCCGAGTGCCCATCCTACTTGGAAGGCTGTGCCCCACTGAGAACTGTCCCTTCGTTGTCACTCACTGGACAGAAGTTTGTTCTCAGCCTGCAAACGGCAGGACACAGGAGGCTGGGCTGACGGGAGCAGCTGGCAGATGGGGACAGTGAGTTGGTATTGCCCAGTGGGGGAACCTCGCTTGAAGCAAAAGGCCATGAGAAGGAAACAGCAAATCTGGCCAAAGGGGGAGGACAGTGTCACACAAACGCAGTCACTGACGTGGACAGCAAGAGCAACGCAGCTGATAAACCCAATGGCTCTTCTCTGGAAGAAAAAAAATCAGTGAAATAACGAAGCCGCCAGCGGCTCTCATCACAAGCAAGGAGAAAGCCAGAGCAGGCAGCGGCAGGGGGCGCGGACCACTGGGACACCGCGGAATTCCGGGATCATAGACGGGCGCCTCCAGCAATCGTCCCGCGTGAACCGCACACCCGGCTGGAGCGGGCAGTGCCGGGAAGAACGCTTCTCCCCAGTCGACCGCGGCAGCAGCAGAAGAGCTGAAACAGCGCAATTTCCAGGAATAAACAGAAAACTTATCGCGGAAACTATGTGCAACGAAAGGACCGTCTCAGACGGTGTCCCAGGGGAATTCTGCGAAGTCCTCGAACCGCTTCGTCCCCGGGCTGCAGGAGTGGTTCCAGGTCACCGAAGAAGAAAGAAACGTCCCAAATAAGTGTACGAGAGGAGTCCCCCAGCCACATCAAAGCACAGGACAGACGGCCCGGGAAGAGAAGCCACAGGCCGACCTCACGTCTCAACCTCCGTGAAAACCCTGAAGAAGACAGTAGCAAACAACGCAGCAGCGCACGAAGAAATTGCGGAAACGGACCACGGCAGTTCCCACATCCAGTCGCATGCACTAGAACACACTCAGAAGACCGAAGTCGTCCGGCTGGGCGACAACAGCAAGACTTAGCCGTGTTCACCGCCTACAAGAGAAACACGTTGGATTCAAAGACACCAAAGTTGGAAAGTAAAAGGATGAGAAAATAAATGTACCTGTGAACAGAAACCACAGAGCTTCCCTGGTGGCATTAACATGACCAAATGGCCTGGGGGACAAGACCTGTTCCTGGAGACAAAGAGGGGCATCTTAACGAGAAAAGGATCCACACATCAGGAACACCTAAAAAGTTATAATGTGTGCACATGCCTGAGGACAGAGCCCGGTACACCTGAACCAAAAACTGACAGAATTGAGAGGAGAAATAGGCAATTTAATCATAATAATTAGATATCTTGAACCCCGCCCCCCCCCAATAACTGATAGAACGACAGGACAGACAACTGTCAGCCGGAAGCTTGGAACCGCACTAACCCACTTAACCTGACATTTACCGGACACCCCAATGGCTGCAGAAGACACATTCCTCCCCAGGACGTGTCATATGCTGATCGCAAAGAAATACGAGCAACACTCAGGAAGATCTAAATCATGCAAAGTATGTTTTCTGACCACATATTTGGAAACTGGGGTGTGGCTGTGGGAAAAGGGGACATAAATGTGGAACAGAGGAAGGGGAAGCCTCCAGGTGGCAGGACTTAAACTGGACGTATCCTATGAATGTGTGTGTGTGTGGGGGGGCGGTGGGGGCGATGGGGCACAGAGGTGAGTGTAGGTGAGGGGTTATGTGGCTACTCCCTGTACTGTCAGTTCTCTGGGTTTTAAACATTTAAAAATCAAAATGATAATAATTTTCTCAAAGTACATGCTCTGAAGCTCTTCTGCCTGGGTCTGAATGCTCGTTCTTTTACGCACAGCTGACACTCGAAGAACAGGGATTTGAATTCTGAGTCCACTTACACGTGGATTTTTTTAAATTGTGTTACGTTAGTCACCATACAGTACATTAGTAGTTTTTGATGTAGTGTCCAACATTCACTGTTTATGTACGACACCCAGTGCTCCATATAACACGTGCGCTCCGTAATACCTACCACCAGGCTCACCCATACCCTCCCACCCTGGTAAAACCCTCAGTTTCTCAGAGTCCATAGTCTCTCCTGGTTCGTCTGATTTCCGCCACCTCACTTCTCCTCTCCATCTCCCCATGTCCTCTGTGTTATTCCTTATGCTCCACAAGTAAGTGATACCATGTGATAATTGACTCTCTCTGCTTGACTTATTTCACTCAGCATAATCTCCTCCAGTCCCGTCCATGTTGATAAAAAAGTTGGGGTTTCATCCTTTCTGATGGAGGCATAATCCATAGTGTATATGGACCACATCTTCCTTATCCATTCGTCAGTTGAAGGGCATCTCGGTTCTTTCCACAGTGTGGCGACTGTGGCCATTGCTGCTATAAACATTGGGGTGCAGTTGCCCCTTCTTTTCACTACATCTGTATCTTTGGGCTAAATACCCAGTAGTGCAATTGCAGGGTCATAGGGAAGCTCTATTTTTAATTTTTTGAGGAACTGTCGCACTGTTTTCCAGAGTGGCTGCACCAACTTGCATTCCCACCAACAGTGTAAGACGGCTCCCCTTTCTCCACATCCTCTCCAACACACGTTATTTACTGTCTTGTTGATTTTGGCCATTCTAACTGGTATAAGGTGGTATCTCAGTGTGGTTTTGATTTGAATCTCCCTGATGGCTAAGGATGATGAACATTTTTTCATGTGTCTGATACCCCTTTGTATGTCTTCTCTGGAGAAGTGTCTGTTCATGTCTTCTGACCATTTTTTGACATGATTATCTGCTTTTTGGGTGTTGAGTTTGTGGAGATCTTTGTAGATCTTGGAGATCAGCCCTTTGTCTGTAGTGTCATTTGTGAATATGTTCTCCCGTTCCGTGGGTTGCCTCTTTGTTTTGTTGTTTCCTTTGGTGTGCAGAAGCTTTTGATCTTGATGAAGTCCCAAAAGTTCATTTTCGCTTTTGTTTCTCTTGCCTTGGGAGACGTATCTGGAAAGAAATTGCTGTGGCCAATGTCGAAGAAGTTACTGCCTGTGTT